GAAGCAGTGGGGAATTGGGGCGGGATTGGTGTGGCAGCGAAGTCGATCCGTGGCTTTTAGCATGAAACAGACTGGTCTGATGACTTTTATTGGCGAATGGACTGGTCTATTCGAAACGTGCCTCGTAAAATGAGACTCGTTTGAAGATTGTTTTGTGATTCGATTCTTTTATGGCGAGAAGCTTGTCCCGCCTGGCGGGAGTCGACTATTGGCTAGCTCTGATGAGTCCGTCTCTGTATGAAATCAAATCGGTTGGCGAATTACTTCGTCAGCTGTCCCCCAATCAGAAGATGTCGCTGGACAGACAGATCAGCTTTTGCATTGAAGCTAATCTTATGACGATTGACCGTTTCGATAATACGAAACCATATTTGATGGCCGGCTCTCGTTGAATTCCGAGTTAGGTTTCATCATATTCGGGTAGGAGGCAGCATGAAGAAGTGATTATTGCAATGTATTGCAGTGAAGTTCTGGGTCTGCTTCTTGAACTCATGTGTAACAACATTTGGGTTTGTTGTAAACTGTTGCATAGGTACTGTTGTTATGCGTATTGCAATCTATAGAGGATTTGGGCAAAACATAGATACGCAACATATATAATCATTGATCGCATCTTTCTGTATTGTTATGCTAAGGTCAGCCGTGCACACCTGACCTTAGCATAATTAAACTATGCTAAGCCAGCTTGCGTGCTCCAATCCTCCTTTATTCTAAAGCTTGACGTTGTGTGTGTGCGTCGTGCGCGGTTTGGGCTGGCGAAGAGAGACAATCTCGCCGCGGCCTGCGCTGTCCCGCGCCATGTGTCTGCTGACTGCGCCATTATCGCCGCCGGTCCGGCTGCAGCCAATATGGCGCGCTGGCCGCCAGCCGGGCGCCGCTCTATCTTGTGTGCAGACGCCAGCTGAAAGTTACTCTTATCTGCAAAGTCATTTGGCATTGTTTGATTAAAGCCCAATCTGCGCATGCCCTGGGCGGCGGGGTAAATACAGCGGTGATAGGAGGACCCTCCTCCCCCACTCCCCCCTCCCTCCATGTCTGCCTGTGGGGCGGTGGAGGTGGCGGAGGGAGGGGATGGAAGGGTTTTCCAGACAGAGGGGCCTGGGCTGGCCATACTGTATGCAGCCTTCCAGGGCGAGAGATGGGGTTTTGCTAAAGTGTGGTGTCTAATATTGTTGAATACTCGGGACATGCCCATGCTTGTGGTGTTATAAGTTATGCATTGGCACGCACCCAGAATTAGAAACGCCAAGCCAAAGCCCAGCAAATATGATATAAAAATCCCCAACCTGTTTTGAATCAGATGTTAGTACGGATTACAGAAACTAAAGCTGATTACAGGTAAACATGTGTGCCTTATGATATTTTTACCGAAATAGGTATGTGAATGATAACATGATTCGGTTCCTGTCTGCAGCTTTACATAATTCTGATCGTTCTTACAGGGCGAAGCCAAACTTGTTACAAGTAATTTTTATCTACATCGTTTGTCCTTCATTTTATCGGTATGTGAAGATTCTTTCAAAATTGAAACACCAGTGTCACATCTTTTTTCTCGCCAATCTCAGCCACCCTCGTCCCTCTCGACGGGCGCCTCTGGAGACCTCTGCAACCGCTCTCGGATGAGACGAAGGGCCGTCGCAGAGACCCACCACCGTTTGCCGTCGGAGGGTTGAGTGTCAGCGGCCAGTTGGTCGGTTCCCAGCGCCGGGCCGGGCCGAGCGTCCAGCGACGGTGTCGAGTGTCCGGCCAACATTACCAGACGCTACTTCGCCAAATAGCGGCGAGAGCGCCCGGGTCACGGCGGCGGTGAGAGAGTGTGGGGATAGATGGAGAGGGGTAGAGAAGTGAGAAAAGAAAGGACGGACAGGTGGAAAACTGCGATTTTGACTGCAGAGTGCGGACAGCGATTTTGATGTGAGGGATATTTGAAATATGAATGTAAAAATAAGTAAATGACATAAAGCCTTGCATGTGGATAGAGTTGATCATATTCTTGAATAGTTTTATAACTAGAAGGTGACTTCACGACAACATCTGAAATGTTGTCAGTGCTTTATTCATATCATGGAAGACAAAAAAAGTTTAACATACCGGGTGGCCCAGAAAAAACGTTCCCAACTTTAAATCAATATTTCTCAGAAAGTGATAAAGATACAACATTGAAACTTCGAATAGTCAATGCGGCACACATTTTCAGTAAATGGTGTGATTTTCATGGTGTTAGGTAATTAACTTTTTAAACGGTTCGTGTTTCAAGCATGCCATGTAAAAATTACTTTTTTGCTCCGATGTTTACTAAAAAATGTGAGTGAACGGGTCACTTTCACCCCGCGGCACCGCGGCCTAGAGCCATGACTTCTACTGGCAGCTAGTCTCATTGATGGTTCGGGTCTCAGGATGACACATTCCCTCAGGCAACCACGATGGCTCTGTGCCAGCGGCATCGGAAGAAGTTTCCAGTTTTCTAACCACCTTGTGGCTCAAATGCTTTCCTGGCTGACATTCCTGGGAAAAGGTAGCTTTTCAACCACATTGTTTTGGCATCTGCTGGCAATGTTGTTTTTCATAAGCTATTCTGTGGTCTTCTGGCACAGGAACCAGCCTGCTTTAGTTTGTTTTCCTTATCCGGTCGATTTACTGTTTGATCTACTGAAAGGAGGGTAATCAGCAGTAATTCATGCATCGTGCCACTCCTCTCGAAACATGATTTGGTGTTGAAACGAATGACATCCATGAGCTCCATTTTGGCTCAGTATTTGAATATTTGGCACATAAGCGAGACAAAAATATTTAAAATAAGAACATACGTGTTGGTTTCATTCACGTGCTCTATTTTTTATTCTTTTTATAACATGAGACGTCTAACCCAATCATCACTATCATTTCACATCGGCAAAAAAAGCAAAAAGGTCTTGCTTAATTCAACTCAAGATTACCAGCTTGAAAATGATGGTATAGTGTTATAATTTGGCATACCAATGCGCAAAGAAATGACGCAAACTTGATGAAAATTTTGGCTCGCTATTTGTACCCGTATTTGATATACAGGCCTCCAAAGTTCGGAACGTTTTTTCTGGGCCACCCGGTATATGCGTTTTAGGGGGGTTTACATAAATAGCTTACCCGTTTTCCAGCAGGATAAGAAAATGCAGTTCTTTGGTGGTCACAGGCAATATGGATTTTTCAGTTTGTGATTTGTTTTATCAGCAATGCTTGCAAAATATACCTATGTTTTTACATTTTTTTATAACGAAAATGTCATTCCGCATACTCTTACTCTCAGCATCACATTGGTGCTACTGAGATGCGAGTAGGTATTTGTCAGGGCTTGCGGAGCTTCCTGCAGGAGTTCTATTTCAAGACTTAGTAACTACTTATATAAGCCAGATAAATCAGTAGTTTCAGCATCGCTGCCCCACGTGGCTCTATCATGACTCGAGCCAATCAGGCTCTCTGCCCCATGGGGCAATGCATGCGGGTGATCTGAAATAAAAGAGCTATTCTGAGCCAGCGCTGTCCCAATATGCTGATGTGCGGTAAGTTTATTGCTTTGTGTTTTCAGCCTAAATCGCTGTTGGTCGTCAGAACATAGAAACTTGTAACTTGCCGATAATTGCAATTATTTGATAATAACTTTCAACATTCGGTAAACTGATGTTTGTGATAAGCTAATTTTCTGACAGATCATGTTCCTTCCTAATAAATGGGAAATCTGAAAACAATGAAAAACAGCAACTCATTAAAATATATTTACATTAGCACTGCATGCACTGCATAACTAATAAGACCTAATCCGTTGCACTGAATTTATCAACAATGAACAATGCATTGTACTGCGACAAATATTTTAAGGATCATAGTTTATACGATTTGGGGTAAACCCTAAAAGAGACAGCACTAATCATAATACCAAGACAAATTTCCCTCTCTTCCTCCCTCCCTCTCTCTCTCTCTCTCCCTCTTTATCTCTCTCTCTCTCTCTCTCTCTCTCTCTCTCTCTCTCTCTCTCTCTCTCTCTCTCTCTCTCTCTCTCTCTCTCTCTCTCTCTCTCTCTCTCTCTCTCTCCCTGCCTCCCTCCCTCCCGTATCTCTGGTTGTCGTCGTATCTGGTCGGCGGCAGTGCAGTGTCGTCAGCAGGACTGCTCCATCTCCTCTCCAGCAGTTATCTGCCATCTCCTCCCAGGAGCAGACACACCCGCCCTAGTGAAAAAGTCCTTAAGGATTTCGCCAGAATCCCCACAATCCTTAAGGATCCATAAGGACCCATATGGATCAGATATGAAATCCTTAAGGATTCTACGGACCTTCTAGAATCCTTAAGGACGCATTCGCCGATCCGTAAGGATTTTAGGGCGATGTTTGGTATCCTTAAGGATCGCTCAGTATTCCGTAAGGAAATTGCTACTTGCTAGTGTCGCTTAATCCTTCAGGATAGCCGATGCAGCCAGTACGTCAATCATTATGGAGTGATTGAATCATTCCTAGTATTATTCCGTGCTCCGTATCCGTTAATATACGGCATGTAAAAACTTTGTGACGGACCAAAGCAGCGTTCGTTATCATCATAGGCGCGGGAACCGGGAGGCGAGGGGGCAGTGGGAGCAGCTTGCCCCCACTTTTGTGCTGCAACTTTGAAATTAAATATTTTCGATTTATGGCATTTCTCGATATTGCGAGTGCCAAAACCGGTGATTGTGAGCCAGGGATAACAATTTGGCTACCTTAACTCAGAATTAATATTTAGCTGGGATGGTGACCTAAATGTCCACGCTGGGTTCATCCAGACTCCAAATCGGATAGACGAATAGTTCTGATAAAAAGTACTTATTGGTATCTCAACCAAGTGCCACAGTATGCATGTATCGCATGGCCTCAGTGTCACCGGTGCCACAGCGTTTGCGCTGTGCTCTTTCAGAGACCGTACCGACTGGAATTTAGCGACCGCTGACCGTTTCAAAGACTGTACGGGCGGCAGCACCCAGTCTGATCCTCGCCTCCGGCAAGAGGGGAGACCGCGCGTCCCCCTGTCGCATTGTGCCGCCGCCGCTCGCGGGATGCGGACGAGTCTGTTGAGTGTGTTGTGCCGTCTGCCGTCTCCTCTTCGGGCCATGTAAGTTTCTGCCATGCTGTGTATCAATGAAATAATTGATCCTAGTTATTACATTGATAGATCAAAAAACCGGCGCTGAAACGTTCACTTCAATTAATGGCGATCGTCGTCCTCATTCATTTGGCTGCGGCAAATGAAAGTACTACCGGTAGCGTCTTTTAGCGCCATGCCTTGGAACGAGGCCCAGGTAAATATAATAGAATGGATTCAGGGTAGTAGGACGTAGGTGCATATGTGATGCATTGCTAAATGAACATACACAGGCATCTAAGCTGGAAATGACTGAACTGAATTTACTCAAAGGCTCACCAATATTCTTTGGCTGGGACTACAGTCTAAGCCTAAGACTAGAATTCGTGAGCCTTTGAGTAGGTATTGTTGATCAGTATATTACTGTTATTACATAGGAATATCCGCCTTGTTACAGGAACGCAGGATGCGAGACTCGACAGGCGACGGGCGACTCAACCGCTCAAGATGTGTAGAATGTGGATGGCGTGGGAGCGGCGGCCGAGGACGTGTGACGTGATAATATCTGAAGCGTGGCTGACTCGAAAAAGTGTAGACTTATCTTCCTGTAAATATGTTTTTTTTCGGAAGTCCTCGGCTTATATTTCTCGGAGCCTCAGCTGCAACCTGCGAATGCCTGGAGCTCCATATATGTATACCCGGTCGCCTGTGGTTGGCAGCTGCTCCATTCCTGGCAATGAAAAATGGCTAAATGTGCTTATTTCAAGTAAAAAATATAGCTTCAGAGACCGTACAAATGTGTTTGCTAGGGTTTGATCCTTACGGATTTATATATCATTCATTAAGGAATAGCCTCAAAATCCTTGAGGATTTTCGCCAAGATCCTTAAAGATTTTGCTACCAATCTTTAAGGAAAAAAACACAAAGTCCTTAAAGATTATTACCAATGTCCTTAAAGACATTGCTAGAGATCCTTAAGGATTTAGCTAAAAATCCTTACGGATTTTCCGCAGAATCCTTAAGGAATTTCTAACAAAATCCTTAAGGAATTTCTAACAAAATCCTTAAGGATTGTGTATCAATTTCGTACAAGGATTTTGTTAAGGATCGTCCTGAAGAAATACATAGGACTGTCCTTAAGGATTTTTTCACTAGGGCGGCCCCAATCACAGAGACAGCACGACCTGGCCGCCCCTCCCCCCCCCCCCCCAGGAGTGCTGTGCTTCTCCGAGCCGTCCCCACACCGGCGTGGGTGCCCGGCGTGGGTGCCTCTCCCAGCCGTCCCCTGTCTCCGATGCAGTCTGGACACACTCCTCGCCAGATACTGGCCACAGGGTGATGGAGTGAGCTTCTAATCCAGCCAGAGGGAATGCTGGGTGCGGCACTCTGGTCTGTCCAGGGGGGCTGGCTCTCACTGCCCGGTGGTAGAGAGGGGATCGGAAGAACATTATAAAATGTGGTGTCAGCTTTACGTGCTGGTGAATCTCTTTGGGGGAGGGGAGGGACAATGGTATGCATAGGATGTGAAGGGTGTGTGTGGGGAAGTGGAGAAAGAGTGACGTGTTAGCAATGAATTCTGCGACTATGCGAGAGCGAGCATGGTGCAACAAGTTCAACAACAAGTTTGTCGGTGAGCGGATGATTCACTGGATTTCGATAGTGTTTTGCTGTTGTTGTTGTTATCTTGTTGAGTTAGGCCCTTTCGGTCTGACAAGACCATTTCAGAGCCGGAAGGATGCCAGGAATCAGGGGGAGACGTTGGTTTTGGCGGTGCTCCGCCGGGACTGAGCCCATCGCCCCGCCAGCGGTCACCGCACCAGGCCATGATGGGCAATGGGCCTGCTACTGGTGAGAAGCTACCCGCATGGGATAAAGGTGCCCGTTGCACCCCCGGAACAGGGGATGAGGTGTGGAGGAAAAGGAATGAATATCCTAAGGACAGAAAAGACGAAAAAGGGACGATCCGTCCCTTTTGAATGGAGGGAGATGCTACGATACCAAAGCAAGTCGTGGTGTAACTATGGTAGCAACATCTAAATAAATGCTTTACAAAACTCCGTTTCATCCAGCTCCTTGTGTTGATCTTATCTTCTAGGACCACGGGTTGACCATACATTGAAATCGGCTTGTTCTCGATGGACCTGCTTATAGTTTCCGATGATAATATATGGTCATAGCGTGATAAATAACTAGCTCAATTACGGACTGGACTCGAGAAGTCGTGTTTCCGCCCCCTGAATTATTTACATTTGAGGACGGCTGAGAATGACTTTTGCCGGCGAAAACACATAATCTATCAATAATCTTTCAAGGGAGGTAAGACCTTTTTCATTCTAAGTTTCAACCCAATGAACCTTACTTGCAGACTACGTATCGGTATTCCGAGGTTTACTCTGGTGCCATCTGCTAGGCCACCTGGAGTCGAGCGCTGATACGGACTCCGAGCTTTGGCTAGGTGGCGACACCATACGTTCGTCTTCCATCAACACACGTTCATTTCCCGACGCCATTCGTTAGCTTGTCGTCGAATCCAAACGTTTAGAAATTCATTCAGAATAGCTGTTTTATTCACTTTTAATACTGGGCTGCACTTGGCAACACGACAAAACACACAAACACAGCGCCTCTAAGGCTAAATTGAGCTATCAAACCATAGCTTGCTAAAACTTCATAGAGCTAACTCGATCTTGAGAGTTCAATATTGAGCCCCGATTCAGATCGGGACCGAAGAATATGCAAAACACACTGCACTTGATACCGTGTCAAAACCATTCACGGTATTCCTATGGTCATATAAGTGAACCATGATGTTTTTTTCCGCCAATGTTATTCACCAAGACACTAAAAACCTAATATCAATCGTTTACCTCCAAGGTCTTATTCTTAAATTGATGATAAATGTTCCCCTGATTTAGTATGTTCATGGACTGACTGACCCTAGTTTTGGAGACATTGTGCGTTTCATAAAAGTATCATGTTCATCCCGTAGAACACCTCTCATTCGGTATTCGGTATTGCTGATGTCGCATTAGGCGAGCACCCAGGCCTGGGGGCTGGCAGAGACGTTGTAGTCGTTGAGTTATTTGATGATAGCTAGAAGAATTTTCCGGTAGTCCCGCTTCGTTTCATCCTTTACCGCGTCGGCAAGCGACTTGTGGTACGTCTTCTTGAAAGCATCCTTGATGTCTTCCAGATCAATCTGCAAAGATCCCAATCAATCGATCAATAAGTACAGCTACAATTCGCAAATCAATTATCAATTCCTGTACCAATAACAATAGATGAGGGCGAAATCGTAGCAACTAGCAGGCAAAGGTACTTTATTTCGTTGGACCCCATTCACCTATCGCTTAGAAAAGAATCAGACTCCCGCTTAACAAATTTACATATTTCTCGTGTTCAGTGCAATGACAATTGATTATTGAGCTTGAAATTGAAGCGTGATTGACTGCGTAGTTGGGACTGCTTGACTGACTCAGTGACTGTTTAATGGGTCAATGGCCATACAGGGTGTAACGAAATTATCCGGACACCTTTCGTCGCGCTGTAATTAAGAAGCAAGACAATCTGATATTTTCCCTTTTGAATGATTATGTAGCCACCTTTCATAAGAGCGCAGGTACAAATTTCTGGAGCATTCCAGCCACTGGGTTTTCCAGCACAGTGGGTTTCATGTAGAGCAGCGCCTTACTAACCTGTGCCCACAGCTGGGCGGCGCTGGTGGCGGGTGTCCCCTCATTCATCTCCTGCTGGACAATAGTCCATAAGATATCGATGGAATTGGGATGGGAACTATTTCCAAGCCATAGCCCGTTAGCCCAGAAGAACAATAGGTCCTTTCGGCATCACGTCTCATACTGCTAGGGACTTGAAGGTGGTGCGCCGCCCCGCATGAAGACTGCGCGACTTGAATCAGGCATCAGTACGCGTTCAGAAACCGAGCCCTCCTGTGCCGTCTGGTTCAGTGGCTCCAACCAATCGCTAGCCATGATGTTGCACCGGTAATACTCGTCACTGATAGTGGTTTTCTGTGGCGTCATGAACAGCTTGAATATTGCACAGCAGCTGAACATGCTCCAGGTCTGAATTTTGGCCGGATGTTTGACGCCGGCGACGGCCGGCATGTTTGAGCTGCTGGCAGCCCACACATGGCCGATTTGACGGTTCAACGGACATCGCAGCTCGAACAGCTTCCCATCTGACCAGGCCAGCTCATTCATGTCTTCCTTCGACCAGTGGACACGCCCTGGCCTGAGGCCAAACGTGGTGGACTGGTTGTTTTCCCGTCAATTTCATTGGCTTTTTCACTTTGAAGAGCAGTAAAACCAAGCTAAAGGGCGGGTAACGGTGAATCGTGATGTGGGACCTCTTATTATCTGCCTTGGTAAGAATTCGAGTCAGTTTGCGGATTAATTGGTGCCGTTTCCTTGTCGCTATCCTGACAACTCTCCTCACCACTTGGCAAAGGGCGCCCTTCGCGATCGACGCCGGGCTGAGTCTGCCACCAAGTCCAAGCTTATTACGTCTCAGGCAGATGTGCTACTGGCTGCTGCTGATGTCCAGCTGCTGACAGACCAGCTTCTGGCTCATGCCACCATGCCACCAACACGTAGCCTTACTACGAAACGAGAGACTGAACTCCCTTCTCTCCATTGCCTTAAACGAAAACTATCAAATGAACCCGTCGGCGACTCGACTCTTACTCAGAGCAAGAGTCATTTCGCAAGGTCAGGGTCACTGCTGAGTTGAGAGCAGCTATCAGAGGTATGCATTCATCCAACTTTCCAGCTTCTAACATTAAAAAAGAAACTTTGCGAGCAGATATGACGAAAAAATAGATGTCCGGATAATTTCGTTACACCCTGTAAGTGACAATTCACTGTTATGGTTTAGCAATATGTATAATGTGTTTAGATGTAAACATATTCATACCTACTGAAGTTGTTCGAAATACGGTGAAGAGGTTTGGAGAGAGTGTCTCACCTCGGAGCGTGTTACCAGTATCCTGATGAGTACATCGTCTTTGGTACCTGGACCGTCCATCGCCTCAAACAGGGTCTTAGCAAAGTACGCTACCTGATCCTTGATGCAGAGCACTGCCGAATAGATATTCATTGGTTACAGAACAATAACATTATAAGTGGAAAAGCGAAGTAGTTTGGTTTCGGATTCTTATATTTCTGAAACTCCGCTTCTTATCAAAGTATCGAAACTGCTGTCGTACACTGTTGAGGCTTTTGTTGCGAACCTAAAAACAACATCTTGCCTACCAACCCTGATTTAACCCGCGCCTCATAGGGGGCGGGAGGCGGAGGGCGGCGGAAAATCCCTTCTCTCTTTTTGTTGATATCTCCAAAAAATGCATATATCGTCACCAAACTTCGAGGACCCATCCGGACATCAATTTTACACCTGGTGACCACAAAATATTTCCATCGTTTTTCTCTAAACTTTCCTATGGATTTTTTTTTTCAAAAGATACGCTACCTTGCCCACAAATGACGTCGAAATGACTTCATGTTCTGCAATTTTGACC